GTTGTATCGGCCAGGAATGTACTGAGCCACCACATGGATGTTGTAAAGGTCTAAGATATTGAACATTTTGTGTCATTTCCATTAAGGGGTGTGACTTGGTACCACACTCGTTTCTCCAATACGAAACCACCGTTCGGTTGTCGCTCTGAATCAACAGGGATGAGCCTACCAGGTGCCGACAATGGTCTTTCAATGTGTATCAAATGGCCCTCATTTCCCGTCTCAGTTGCAGTTGGAATGTGAATTCGCCTCGTTTACGGACCCAATGGTCCGAACGGACGGTCAATGGACTGTCGGGCCAATGCCCGACAATCCATTGACTCAGATTGTGTAACTGAGCTCCCCACCCTACTGCAGATGCATCTGTTACTAGGTATTCTGTTACAGGAGGGTAGTGAATGGGCGAGAACTGGGCTAAATTTACTTGCCACCATTGCAACTCTTTCAAAGCAGCGTCCGGAATCCGATACCGGCGCTGAGCGTTCTGTAGAAGTAATTCCTAGCACATGAGCACATGCTAGGCCAAAAGGTAGGCACGTCATTTGCCAAAGTTGATGTTTGTAAATTACTCTTAAGAAGCGCCGATGCGTCTTCGAAACCGGCAGATGGAAATAAGCATTGGATAAATCTATTTTTACCAACCAATTTCGTGGTTGCAAGAAGGTTACGACTCTGTACACATTTAAGAGCTTGACTTTGTCCACAAATACATAATTGTTTAATCTTTTTAAATTGAATATTGGATGCATTGAGCCGTCGCTATTCGGTGTTAGAAACATTTTTGAAACGAAAGTGGGACTGGGGACTGCAGGTTCTAAAACTTCCATTTTCACTAATTGGTTTATAATTTTGTCCATGTCTTGCGACACTGGTGTTTGCGATAGATGATTGAATAGGTCTAGTACCTCTAATGGGGGCTTGGCTATAAATGGTATGCGAAAGTTCTGTACAATTTTCATTACCGTTGGAGGTGCTTGCAATGCCTGCCAATGATCTAAAAAATCTGGCAACCGGTCCGCTCGAAATTGGACAATATTTTCTTTTTGACTGTCTACGAACATTTGACTGAGCAAATACTTTTCCTTGACCTCTGCCTGCGCTCGAATACATATCATGGCTTTGAAACGTTTGCGCGGGCCTCTGACGAGGTCTCACTTGCTGATTAAATGGTCTAAAAATGGGGCGAGGGTAGTAGCGCCCTTGATTAAAAGAATTCCAAGCGCCTTGTAAAGGCGGTCTGTTGAACAAATCCATGGCAGGATAGGTAGTATAATTCAAATTACTGGGTATTTTAGTTGAATAATTCAAAGCATGACTAGGCATGGCCTGAGCCTGCTGTTGGGGCTGAGCTTGCGCAGCAGCTTTATTTTGTGAAGGCGCTCGGAGCGGCCAAAATGTTTTCGATACACCACCAGCTTTTTCAATAGCCGTAGAAAATGATTGTTTATGAAATAAATTCTCGCTAGTTGGCGGTATTTTACGCAAACTCGCCTTTAAAAAGGTATCTTTTACAGAGCGCAAAATGTTATCACGTCTTTGTTGTACTAATTCGGCCCTATGACCACATGCTAACTGCAAAACATCACTACTGATTTTTTTTTAATGACCTTTCACAAATAATTCATTAATTTTTTCGTGCAAAGACTTGGCAGAAACATTACCCGCGGAAGTGGCCCAATCCATTAAACTTCTAAAAGATTCTTGTACGGTTTCGTTCTGCTTTATGAGGGCTTGCGTAATAGCAGCGAAGCCACGCTCGATAAGTGCGAGAGAATTGTTTTTATTGTAAGGTCTAATTTCATCGTCGGTTTCTAAATAAGTAAATCCCGGAGAGGAGCAGTATTGTTTCTGTACTTCAGCATACCGTACATTATTCCAATCTTCAGTATTAAAATGCTATATGGAATTTAACAAATCTATATGAATCTGTGAAGATTTTTGAATAGATGGTTCTTTCAAAAAAGTGTTTAAGGAAAATTTTAAAGTACCCGGCAAATCGGAGACTTGCGCCGTACTTGTACACAATTTTCACTGTTGTACAGTGACACCACCACTGACATCTGCACTGATATCGGGTGCAAAGTCTACATTTTCATTTGGATCGGGCACATAAACGCTTGAATGCAATGTAGGTTGGAATGCACTACTAGTAGCAATATAATTTTGTATACCACTTACTTGTTCCGTCAAATAGCGTAAAGTATCCTCCATTTTGTAGCGACGGCGTTTATTACTACGTTCCTTTGAGTGTGAACGATTTCTTTTTCGTTGCTTATTTATCTCCGGCGGAGGCAGACGGGGTGGCACTTCGTGAACTTCGGCGTTGGTCTCTACTGTTCTAGATTGCTGAGAATCCGAGCTCGACGAGGAAGAATCGGACGAATCCGATAAATTGACTTCCCTGGTACCATTCATAATTTCACAAATTAACGAAGGATAAAACCCGTTAAGAATTTTAATATAATTATGGACACAACTGACTACTATGCAAAACAAATCGCCAATGAGCCAGGGCTCGAAAACACAATCCCGTTGTGAGTGTGCGCCACCTGGTGTACAGTAGCAGAAGCTAGATGGTGGGGGATGTAGAAGGGAAATTCGAGCTAAAACTGACACACTACCGGAAATCAAGTTCGCTACTCTCGAATGTTTAGGCTTCAAATAACGGTTCAAAAGCTTAATAGACGAAAACGATGGAACCAACAAGAAGTGGTGGTGGTGTGGTGTGATTGTTGGAGGTTTTTTCGCTATTGTGAAATCATTTTAAATCTCGATTTTCTTGTAAGTGGCTTCTAACTATACAAGTTTATTTTATAATTTACGCTAAATAAAACTTCAAAAGATATTTCTAAACGTAGAACATAATAATGAGCCTCATTATTTTAAACAATACATACATAGTGAGCCTTATTAATATAATAAAGAGCCTCATTATTTTAAACTATACATACATAATTTAAAATAATGAGGCTCATATTATGTTCTACGTTTAGAAATATCTTTTGAAGTTTTATTTAGCGTAAATTATAAAATAAACTTGTATAGTTAGAAGCCACTTACAAGAAAATCGAGATTTTCACAACAGCAAAAAAACCTCCAACAACCACACTTAGAATAATAATTACTTAGAATATTATTCTAAGCAACCACACCACGTATTGGCTCCATCGATTTCGTCCAATAATAACTTCAACTTTTGACAGGTGTCAACGTCAAATGTGGAATTAAAGGAAACGTATCTGGTAAAAAATTTATTTCTCTGTTAAATATGATTTTTTCAAAATGGAATTTTTTCCATGACCTGTAACTCTATTACTGACTGACAGGATAGAAATTATACATTCTCGGAAAACAAGCCCAGAAAAAAAAGAAAATTACTGACAGAGAAGGACAGAAATTCAATCTCGGAATTATCTTTGCTTGTTATTTACTATCATGAACGAGTTGTAATTTTGTAGACGTTCAGAGCAATTTAGTAAGACAGGTACTTACCTTGCCTTACACAATGCTCAGAATGAGCATTGAAAATTCTAAGCTTGCAATCGTTCAATAAATTCCCGTAAACAACCTTGTCATTCTAGCACAATACACTATAATACTTAACACAGTGTTTTCTTCTAGCATTTGTGTACGTCTAAGTTTTATGCACAATGAGTACCTCACGCCGCGTACTAACATACTGTTTGAAAAGATTTAAAAGTTCGAGTCAATGGCTCCGACGTCAGGAGGCAGACCCATACGTTGAAAAAGCGAAGATATATAACTACAGGTAAAACAAATAGCAGTAAATCTTCATTGAATACTAAATTAAGAGTAACTCTAACTTAACGTTAACGTTGTATTACAAAACGTTATGTGTTTATATTCCAGATGTCGTAGCGCCTTTAAATTGTTAGAAATCAACAACGAAACCAATATTCTACAGCCAGGTATGAAAGTAATCGACCTTGGAGCTGCTCCGGGTTCTTGGACGCAGGTTGCAGTGCAAAAAGTCAATGCTAATGGTTGCTTACCTTATAAGCCTCAAGGATCTGTAATCTCTATTGACAAACTTCAAATATTCCCAATTCAGGTACACATAAATACTTTATCTTTGTAACTGCATGTGTTATGTCTGTCATTTTTTCTGTGTAGTCTGTCAATGGGCTGCACATCTTTGTACTAGACTAGCAAGATATCAGTATGTCTGTCTCACTTTTGCAAACAATGTAGGCCCTCTGATTGGTTGATTGTGTATTTAACACTTAGCATACTATTCAGCGCTTTTAGATTACTATATATATAACAACATTAGCCAATAAATACATTCTGGTTCTAACTCTCATCATCAGCGTTTCACTGAGAAGTACTTAAAGCTACTCCTACACCTAAACTACCACAAGTGCATCTAAATCTTCATTGCTGTAACAGTAATATGTCATTTAGGCTCAAATTCATATTATTCTAACAAGGTATTGAAATAAGGGGGTAGCTCAGATTACGTGGCGAGAGGCACTTCTATAAATTTAAACTGTAATAATCTTTAAAATATACTTTATTTCACTTTTTTACATAATTTTAGTATTGCGTTACAAATCAATCTCTCGGTCTGTCTAGATCTTCTGTTTTCTTACTTATTTCATTTCTTCGAAAGCATTCTAATTACAAACTAACTCATTCAGCCGGAGATTCTACTCATAGAGTATAGCCTAGTCTACATCCCTCTTCCTCACAGCTGAAGGGGTGAATATCCCTAGCTGGTGGTCTACCTATGATAGGCAACTTACATCGGTGATCAGCCTTTACTACAGGCTAGCCACACACTGCTCGGAAGCTATCAACTTACCAACAAGTAACCACCGAGGAGGCTATGGCTTTAGTCTGCCAAAAACCTATCCAAAAAGACAGACCATGACCACATCCTAGTCAAACAAATCAAAATATTTTCACTTGTTAGCTATCCTAGCTAATTAGGGAACCTGACTAAACCCTAACACTTTATTTCAGCGACCCTAAACTGGCTGAACGACCCTATCAAACTTCTAAACATTGCTACAAAACTATTTCCCTAAACTCCCTAAACCTAAGCTATCTCCAACGTGCATGCTGCCACAACGACGACACAGGCTTGAACATCCATCGGACGATCACTGGGTTACATCACTATTGATCTCCCAGCTGCCTTAGTCCTCATTTTGCAGCTATCACGTTCCATCAGCTTCACTTACTATCTTTAAACAAACAAGAACCAACACACATATAACGCTAACAACATATCCTAACATACATATGGGATGGGGATATCCCATATGAAAGATGTCTAATTAATTAAATAAATATATTTTCCCCGAATGCAGACAGTCCTTGTTCAACTGGAAGGATGAGCACGAACTATTCGCATATACAGGATAATATATCTATCAAATTAAAAAAATATATAAGAAAAACAAAAGTAAATTTTATCTATTTGATGGTGTATCTTCTCCTCCCTTCCATCCAAGTCTGCATGTAAAGGAAAATATTAATTTTTCTCCAAATATTTCTCATAACGTCAATGTGGTTCCACATGAAAAATAAATATAAAAAATTAATTAACCTAGTAGAAACAAACACATTAAATTCCCTCATATAGAACTTTTTCATCCTATTCACATGGAGTAGATTCTGCCTACCCAATCTATTCCTATTCATACTTAATCTTCTCATAATACAATTAATCCTACTCAACCAATTCACTACCCTAACCTTCGCGTAACATACCTCTTAGATATCAAAGCAACTCTGCTTTTCTTATCAAACATTCGCTTTTGCTTTAATTGTAAACCATCTACATATTCTTTACGAGAACTCATCGAAGCTGCTCGTTTTACGAAGTCACCTCGCAAATTCGCCACATTACTTACGCGAACACGATTAGAAATGTCGCTTTCCGAATTGTGTTTTATATATATTTCCGGCAAAGCATTTTTATAATTATTTTTACAGAAATTATACCCTTGACGTAATTGACACGTCTTTTGACTTTTATTGAAATTATTTATAATTCCCGGCAAAACCGAAGAGTTTTCATACTCCGATCTATTTAGCGAGAAATTATCAAAACTTTTTGATACTGGTTTCAAAGATTTTTCTTTCTTTGAGCCAATATCTGTCACGGACTTAGACGAAATTTTATTGTCAATTTCCACTTTTGACAACTCGAAACCACATCTCTTCAAAATATCTCGACCCAGAATTACATATTTTTCAAGATCGTCTACAACCAGCAACTTCGAAGGATATTCCTTCCCATTAATCATCAACGACACTTTGGTGGACGACTGCACATTTATTGGCGTTGCACCCACTGTACGTAATGGAAAACTTGGAGTATCATCGATACGCAACTGCAACCTTTCCGCAAAATAACGAGAAATTACTGAAACTGAAGCATTAGTATCCACCAACGCCTCGCAACATACATCATTAATAAAAACAGATATAAAAGGTGCCCTATCTACACTAAAACTATCAATTGTAAACAAATTTTCTAAATGTTCAGCTGCGCTTTTCTGACATTCACGTTGAGGAGATCCTGACGAAGATCCACTACTATGTGCTCGTGAATACCCTTGACTTGGCGTATCCTGCTGCACAACTGGTGCTTGTGGCACTTGATATTCCGATTGCTTAGACTCGGGTCTAATTATCGGTGCAGAGTCACCCTGTGTTTGCCAACAGCAAGAATGCTCCATATGACAATATACTGGCAATTCAATATCTCGTCTACTTCCATTATAATTGTGATTAAATATGTCATCTACTTGGATAATTGTTTTCCTCAACTCCTCTTTCGATACATACAAATTACTAGCCAGCATCCATTTAAAATTGGGTATCAAAGATTTCAAAAAATGCTTAATAAACTGAACATCTTGAATATTCACTTTCAACGCTAACTCATTTAAACTATAAAAATAACTTATCAGCGATTCATTAGGCCCCTGTCGCCTATAATAAAATTCACGGGCGTAATCTATCTGTGAGGGAAATTCCTCTCTTAGCTTCTGTGCCACCACGTCATACGTCATGTATGAAGAAAAATACGTTCTGTACCATTGTAGAGCAGGCCCCTCCGAATACAATGCAAACACGTATTTCTTCTGCACATCAGACCAATTATTTAATATACTAATGGTCTCAAATTGATTCAAAAACTCGTCAACGTCGTTGAATCCATTAAACTTTTGTGCCGACATACCATACATATTTTCTCCTCGCACTTTTCACTGGCACCAAATATAAATCAATATTAAATAAGTAAAAAAATATAAATTACGACCTTTGTTACGTTTTCGTTGTGGTTGTGTCGTAAAAAGATATAAAAATATTCTACACCGGACTTTTCTTCATCGGAATCCTTATCCACGGTTCTTTTTCTTTAAAGCCGGCGCAATCCACCATTTGAAATAAGGGGGTAGCTCAGATTACGTGGCGAGAGGCACTTCTATAAATTTAAACTGTAATAATCTTTAAAATATACTTTATTTCACTTTTTTACATAATTTTAGTATTGCGTTACAAATCAATCTCTCTGTCTGTCTAGATCTTCTGTTTTCTTACTTATTTCATTTCTTCGAAAGCATTCTAATTACAAACTAACTCATTCAGCCAGAGATTCTACTCATAGAGTACAGCCTAGTCTACAGTATTGTTTTAGACTAATTTCATATAAATTCACCAATAACTTTTTGTGTGCTTATTTGCAGGGTGCAACAGTAATGAGCAATCTTGATTTCAGCACAATTGAAGCTCATGACAAAGTGATAGCAGCACTTAATGGGAAGCAAGTAGATTTGGTTCTCTCTGATATGGCCCCAAGTGCTACAGGTATCAGAGAATTAGACAAAGACAGAATAATAGCACTCTGTTACATGGCTTTAAGGTTTGCCGCTCTAGTCAGTAAAAAAGATGCCAGTTTACTCTTCAAAGTATGGGATGGTAAAGAAGTACCTGTGCTAGAAACGGACTTGGCAAGATTCTATAACACTATTAAGATTATAAAGCCTAATGCTAGTCGGTCTGAATCTTCTGAGAAATATTTTCTTGCTAAAGGATTTAGAGGTATTCAAAGGCCTTTAGAAAATAATCAATGGGGGTAAAAAACTTTGAAAATCTGTAAATGTAAATTATTACCTAAATATTTTAAAAAATTTTGAAAAAAATTGCTATTGTCTATTGTTGACAAGGTAATACTCAAATACAATAAAATGTTGTTTAATTATGTAAGTAGTAGATAAGAAAGTACTTCTGCTACACTTTGATGTTTCTTTGCAAACTAAAGTGTGTACTTAGGTCATTTTAATAATTATACAAATAAATAGTGTAAATAAAAAAGTAGGAAACGATGGCAAAATAAAATTAAAATACACCAAATAATTTTATTTCATTTAGCATATTATAATATTTCATTTATAAGCTTTTATTTTACTCTAGTTACAATAAGTAATTATAATACCGGTAAAATATATTCTGCATTAATTAACACAATATTGAAACTATATACCAAATTACATAATAAATTATACATAGCTTAATATTTTTCTACTCTGATTTCCATGATAATTTACATACACTTTTGTACCAGTTTTATTGAATATAATTCTTATAGATTGTTATAGTAAAATATCACAATGAATAGGGTAATATCATTAAATACATAATATCTAAACATGTACCTACTATTTATGCACTATATATTTTTTGGGCTTATATGTTCAATTTTTACCATGGTTGCCTTGATCTTTCATATTTACTGTGAAGGGTACAATAAAAGCATTGTTCTTATCATACTGAAGGAAAACCAATATATACAATTTTTATCCTTATAACAAGCTGTGCACTTAATACTAGTTACCTACTACTAAACATTGTCTTACATTGACAATACTTTGCTTGTGCATTTACACAACCAAAGATAGCATTTTAGACCTTTGGGAGGATTATGAGCGAAGTCTGAAAACTGGACAAATTCTTCATACCATTTTGAACACCAATTAGTTAAGGCAACGATACCACTGCTTTACAGACTTAGCCAGTACCATAAGAAATAATGACAGTTTAAAAGAATTTAAGGATGCAAAAATTGAAATGAAAAACATCGATGATTCAATATCAAAAAAGGATATTGGTGTTAATAAAACATTTCGGAGATACTATTTATATTACAATATTGTTTTTTTTAATATTGTGAGTGAAAAAGGGTATTTATTATATGTGCACATAATCACTGGTTAGGCTTTAGAAACTGTAAGTTTTCAAAAACTGTATATTCGAATGCTGTGTAAATTATGCAAGGCATAATTTTAAACAGCTTGTATGTTATAAGCAATTTAGGTATGTATGGCCCACTACTGTACCTATACTACCTGTTGTGTGTGTATGGACGAAGTTTCTATAATGTTCTCTAGAAAAATCATAATTCAGTAGCGCATAATATAGTTCATTATATAATATAGTTGAAGCAGTATGATAGGATATACCTAGTGTGTAAAAATATTAAATTGTGTTTGCTACATAACGTTAACATTTGCAATTTTAATACTGTGACATGTGGTTGAATGTTTAAGTCGCAGCCGTATTGTATAAAGTGCCACATTACATAACCGCTTTGCATAACGGCGCTGTTTTTTAATACGGCTACCTCATCCGGATTGTGATCACGATACGTTCTACGAAGAGGCGGCCAATGTTTAGCCGTATTGTTCATAGGGAATATGGCACCCTGATTATGAATCATCATTTGTTGTTACGATAATGCAGCGCTACTGGTAGCTATATTTGGAACTAAATATCTCAAAGAAGCGTAACAATGACGCGCCCTATTGTATTCCGGCGGCACATTTCTTAGCCGCTTTGTAAAACGCCACATGTTATTATTACAATGTGGCGTACTTGTAGGCGAATTGCAAACCGGCCGAATACGAGGTAACCGTATTAGAAAATAGCCCCGCGCCGTTTTGCAAACCGGCTAGCCCTAATGTAAATACGGCTCTTTATACAATACGGCTGCGGCATGTTATATACACTAAGATTAAAAATAGAGCTATTTCATGTTTGCTAAATGGAACATCGATTATATAGTTGTTTCACGACAGATATGGATGTTTTTTGTTTAACTAAACCATCGATGTATCTTAATATATTACGTATTTTGCATCCCTACAAGAATAGCCACTGACGTTTCAGACAAATCCAAGCGATGCAACGTGTTGAGGTGTGACATTCGAATATGCGTTTGATGCGCATGTTCTGCTGTGCATTTTTTAACTCGTTGCAGATTTTGTTAGGACATCGCGTCACTAGTGATGTATCTGAACCGTTACGACTTTACACGAACTGTGATCGTGTACCGTGCGATAGTTTGTTAAGCTGTGCAGCAGATAGCAAGCTGGAGTGGGCTGCGTGATCCAGCAACAGAAGCCTCTCACCGCGTTCGTCATTGGCAGCCCGTGTAGCGCGTGCACACCGTCCACCGCCGGTCTCGAGGGCGAAACTACTTACCGCGCAGATGGCATAGATGAAAGTTAACACAAAAAGTGCGCAGCCAAAATCTGGAAAATGTATAATTCATGTCTTATAGACGTGTCCCATGATTAAATATTGGTAATCCAACTACGAATATATTCGTGGATCCAAATTACAAAAATATACATATTAGGAAAAAGATATAAGACTCGCGTCTTGTTAATCTGGGTAGATTTGGGACCAAATTAAGCATATTTAATGAAATGACACAAGACATTGCTAAACCCTATTTAGCTTTATAATAGGTAAGCGTCTTATTTTAAATACTCATAGAGAGATACAAACGGGGCAAAAAATATTCTATTAAAATACGAATATAAAGATAAAAAATTGTGGAGTGTCCCTTCGGTTTACCGGCACTAACCGTTATGACCGGTTATGGGTTAAATACTCACGGTATAGATTATGCCCTCCAAAAATGTTAACGACACACGGGTACCCGTCCCCCACGACGATAGCAATGATCAGCAGCACAACACCAATACACGCAGCCATGATCCATGGTAGGACGTACTCCCGCTTGTACCGGATCGCTCCGTGAAGTAGCGAGATGCAGCACATCAGGTAGATTGAAGTCAGAATGGTGCTTGTGTATAGGAATATTACCGTCACTGAAGTAAAAAGACAATTGAAGTACTTACTAGAGATAATTACAAGGTTAAGAAATGGAAATGTAACTAGGTACTTTTTTTGGATCTAAGTAGCATGAAGGTATTTGTTTTTGAAACAAACCAACATTTCGGGTCTTTTACAGAGCCCATGGTCACGGCATTTAGAACCTAAGAACTCCAAAATAGTTGGAAATGAAACTATTTTTTCGGATCTAAATAACTATAGCGTACAGATATTTGTTTTTCAAACAAACCAACACATTTCTGGCCCTTTGCAGGTCCCATGGCCACGGCATTTAGAACCTATGTTTGATGAATATGTTTAAGAGTGTTTTAAATATTTAGGAGATTAGTGTACTCGTGAAGTCGTGAGTAAGTACTCATTGTCAACTTTTTCAAAATTCGCCTTTTGTAATATATAAATAACCAATTCACATGACAACATAATGAAATGAAATAAATGAAATTTAACTAGAACTATGCAAATAACTTTTTCCATCAAAATTATGAGTTACATTTATTAATAATAAAGAGGACGACATATCACACCCTGTATTAATCTAGAAGAGAAAAGGCCAATAACGGTCTACCTGCGAGTAATTTATGATTCCCAACAGTTATTCAAAACATTGTTGTCGATTTTAAAGTAATCACATATTTGAAATGGACGATTGTTGAAGAGATTACCTGAAGCAAGATTTTGTGCCTTAGCAAATCTGCGTTGATTGTTAGTGCTTATCACTTCGCCTTCATGGAATGACGTCTGGTCTCCATAGGCTACTTCGTAGAACCCATGCCTCTCTGCGTCGTCTTCCATGTCGTTATGGAGCATAGATAGCATTTCACCCACATGAGAGATGCCCACTAATAGTATTATTAAAATGAAAGATGACAGCGCCTGAAAAAAGTAAATGGATCCAGTAAAGCAACGATTAATAATCATTGCAGTAGAGATTTTCTTTTGTCAAGCAAATTAAATAAGGCAAAACATGCGTTAATCATATTTTAAGTGACATGTACTTACGATTTGATGGACGGCAATAAGAATTGTGCCTTGACGCAAATTGAAAACGTACAAAAAATTGTTTAGGCGAATCATCATTTTGTGTGAAAAATTACATTGCTTAGTTCTATCAAACATTTGTGTTGTTTTTTCACTGGAACATCGCAGGCAGAATCGCGAACATTGTTTGGAGGGTTGAAACTGTCAGATCGGCTACAGCGCGCATGATAGCTTGTATTGATTTATATTAAAGTGGCTGACGCCTGTGACTTTGTCACGACGAAATAGTTAACTAACAGCTTTTAGTTTCGTAAACAGAACACAATTAATCACATAACACAGTATTTTGTTATTGGCTTCGCTGCACTCTAAGCGTTAGAGAAAATAAAGGAAGTAGTATGTCATTGATTACTTACATACGCGTACCTTATTTCAGCGTGAATATAATCGAGTATTTGAAATTTGAATAGTCAGGTCGTCACTAAGTTGGTTTTAATTGCAAAAACCAGCCGATCCGCCGTTATAAAATTAATCATACATACAACATATATAAACCCACGCCCTTGCCCTACAGGAGGGGTAGAGCTTTAAGATTATAAGGGCGCTGTACTTAGTCAAGAGCACGCGAAGCTTGACGCTTAACACATAAATCAAACTCTATGCAGCTTACGATAAGAACGATCCAATGTACATACAAAAGTGTCAAGCTTGATGTGTACCACAGCACCTAGCATAGATTGCAATAAAAAGTCGTGACGTCGATTCTAACGTAATAAACTAGATTTACTCGTAATCGTTACGCCGCCCGTTTTAAAGTTAAAAGGATGGTTAACATTCCGCGCTTATTCCGGCGGCATCATTCTTCAACCTTGAGTACAATAAAAAAGACCAGAAAATTTTATTTTGCTTTTTTAGGTTTAGTTTTAATATTTGTTAGCGGTATATGGAAAAACTTTGGCTGCTGACAGATTGATTGCATGTTTGTAGTTAATGCGTGTAGTCGTAATCAACTTCATGCAGCCGAGACTACGACCATATGAAGTTAACTTCATACGCATTAACTTCATGCAGTCGATCTCGGCTGCATGAAGTCGGTTTCGACGGCATGTAGTTAAAGTGTGAAGTCGTTATCAACTTCATGCAGTCGTGATCTCGGCTGCATGAAGTTGATTACAACTTCACGCATTAACTGCAAACGTGCTGACTGCATGTCATCTGTTAGCATCCTTAGTTAAGTTTATGTTAGACTGAAATGATTTTAGTACTTTTGAAATGTAATAATAAATAAATATAAAAAGTCGCAACATTTTATCTGCCTACCTACTCAGTAACTTCGAAGCTTTTATCAAGAATAAGCATAAAGCAGAATTAATAATATTACAACAGAACGGTTGTTTCGTTATTTTGACAGAAGTAAAATTTAAAAGCTAGCACTAGTACCTACATATCGTGCAAATAGAATACCGCTTAGATAACCTATTTACTTCTTCTGACGTTACAGATACGCCGATATTTTCATGTGGAACATACATTGCATTGTTGGACTTAATAATTATACGTTTATTTAGCTAAGATGTTAAAATTATCACAGAGGGCACGTCATTGTTTTATTATAGATGGATTTAGTAGCAGTAGAGCTCCTTGTGAAAGAGTTCATCCAGGGAAGTATTGCCACCTTACCTAATACGTCCCGGTATGGAAAAGCAAGGGTGCTAGTGAAAGTACTGGACTTGTCAACTGATGTCTCAGTGTGACGGGCGCAGTGGCAGTGCCCCTAAGATCTTTGTGATTTAAAGCTCTGAGTGGCACTGCAACTGTTATGGATAGGCCTGTCGCTTACGTGCGCACGACTTGTTCGTCCCGTTACTTGGTATTATAAAAAAAATCATAAACAGAAAAGTTGTTATTACGTATTTATTTATATATAAATATCGCTGTAGCTGTTATACTTTGACTATTTATTACGTTAATGATTAAATTTTCTTAATTAAATTTAATTAATTAATTTTCCTGAAAGGCTTAAAATTAGGCGAAATGTCTATTGCCTCGAACTCTAAACTAGTTCTTTCATTTAATTCCATCCGTAGATTGTGCAATATGAGTGGATCGCCACAAAAGCTTCGCTTACTGCCCTTCGGGAATTGAAATACAGAAAGTATATTATAAATTAGTTTTATTTCAATTTCACAACTTACAATAGGTAGCAAATAACATTATGACTGTATCAACCTAACCCAAACTTTTAGCTGGCATTAGTATATTTGGATTAAAATAATAACTAATTAGGTATATCACATCTGATACATTAGTGATAAAATAAAAGAACAAAATATGTACAAAGTTTGTTAGTTTCGTTATGATAAAAAATTTAAAGAACAAAAAGTGCAATTTTAAAGTTAACTATTCTAGCGTTTAATCAACATACATAAACTTTTCACACTTTCTTACATAGTGAAAATTGCAGATTTCTTGTTAGATAAAATTTGTTATATTCTAGTTACAAAGGGTGTGTATCAAAACTGACGTTCATTTGAGGCTATCAGGGCAATAGTGGTGTAGCCCACAATTAATATTTTGTGTACAATATCACTTTAAATGATACTAAATATACCAAATCACCCTCAGGTGCGTATTGTAGTTTGGTATCGGGTGAGTTTAGACATTATAATTATTGTAATTATATTATGCTTCCACTCCACCAGGAACTACTTGCAACTACAAAGACTTGATAAGTGTGGATAAAGATGGTAAAGAAATACTTAAAGTTATTAGAAATTTGTATATTACAAAATTATTTATATTTGGATGCTATTTTTCATGCATAAAACAAAAATATAATCAAATATTTTTTGTACATAAAAATAGCATCCAAATATAAAATAAAACAATTTGTACTTTAGTACCATTTAAAATAATATTGTAGAAAAAAAATTAAATGTGGGTTACACCACTTTTGCGCGGATAGCCTCATTTATGTTTCACAATTCTATTAGATGGCGCAAATGGCCAAAAAAAGGTTGTATGAGTAAATAAATAATGTTAACGAACGTATTAATTAATGATATCCGTATGGGACGGATCGAACAGATTTAGTAATGATTCACACATTATATTTACTAGATACAGTCTACGGTTATAATTATAATGCTGCCATTATCGTTACATTTGCACGAGGACCACGTGGTGTAAATACAAAATGTGTATTGTCATAGGCTAAAACGTACACAACCACTTTTAAAAAATATATACAATCACGAGACATTGGAGTTGATTCGGACAAACGCTAACTTAAGTTCAGTGTTTTAGTATCTCACTAAGAGCGTAAAAGGCCAGAATATATATCATATTAGTTTAGAGCTGTAAAATTAAACTATTTATAAAAATGAGCAATTTGTATCTATACCGACAAAATTTATAACGATAAATTAATTTTATAGTTTTAAACTAAAATTAAATCTCCTGTATGTTTCTTGCTGTTAAAGTGATACAATCACAAATGCATTGACTTTGCCCGAATAGACGCCATTATGATCCTTTCCAAAATTGTTTGTAAATAACGATTCTTAAAATAATTTAACTTTACTAGTTTAGAATTTAGTCAAAATTTTGGTATGCAATGAAGTTTTCGAAGATATATAATATATAAATGTAGCTAAAATATTTACAATTTTCAATTGATACACTTTAGAGGACTTAAAAATAACTATTTATAACATTTCTTACAAATACTGGACAGGACAATAAAGTGACTCGCACGCATTAAAAGCTAAAATTTCTCAAAAGTTTACAATTTTTTTTAGGTCAATAAAATTGTACTTGCGAATGATAGATTCATCTAGTGAATTCTAAGTTCTACTCTTCAATTTAGTTTATTCGCAAAATTAGAAATAGGAAGAATTAAACTAAAACATTAAAAATGAATCAAACAATGAAAACGAAAAGACATTGGATTTACAAATGCATGTGTAATTTTACCAGGCGCAACAGAAGTAAAACATGCCACGGTTTTGTTTTAATCTTGGATTTAGAGAAGACGATAATTTTAACACAGGTCGCGAATTTAAAGGACCCTGTAACTGGAGGTGAGAGGTAAAGAGACTTAAGTGCCTAATTGTTGATCATGTCGCCGTGTCGCAGCCGTGCTGGCAGTGTTGGCCAATACGCTGTCCGATATTTCGATTAGTTGTTTTCTATATGTATAACCACATAGAACTAACTATACGTGATACTGCCTCCGTGGCCGAATGGTTACCATGACGAACTGCCACGCAGAAGTACCGGGTTCGATTCCCGTGCCGGGAGAATTATTTGTGTGGCGTACATTGATTTCTCTCGTGAGTTGGGTGTAATTTCTGGTTGTCTATGTGTGTGTCCATAGCACCCGCGATACAGGGTTTCCCTAGTGTGGGGCTATGTGTGTTTGCGCGTTATCGTTATTATAAACTTACTTATACTCACGCCCTTGGATACCCATTGGGGTAGGCACAGACTATCGAGCCCTTCAGCTCGATCGTGACAAACCTTCTTTGCTTCACTTACATTCATCAATCTTTTCATGCAGTCCCTCTTATTCTTCTCTCCACGCACTCCAGCCTTTTTAACTCTCAACATTCTCAATTTGATCTGAGAATGTTCTTCGCTGCTGTCCTCTTCCAATGGTGCCTTCCACGTTATGCATTTCTTTCGTTAGTCTACATTTATTCATCCGCTGCTTGAGCCCAAACCACAACATACCCTTCTCTATTTTTGTCACTATATCTTCTTTCAAACCACATATTATACATAATAAAGTAACTATATAATTAATGTATCCAAAACTAAATGTAGACCACTCTTTATTTACAACATATAAAAAAAAACTTGGTGTCGTTTTAAGACAATAAATGTGACCAATGTAAGACCAACCCTTAGTATAAGGAACCATAGTTTGGGAACTAGGTACACCTGCTATTGTCTCTTGCCACAAAATTATTATTATTTCCTATTCTATACTGTCGCCTCTTCCATGGTCTGAAAGATAAATTTAAAAATGAGGAAGGTGATATTCCCCAGTAATGGTTATTATAATTTCTGACGTATTATGTCGTTTGGCATGTTGTCTAACATGAGAATTTATTTCGAATGTGTTGGCTAACACGGGCAAGGCGACTAACATGTTCGAAAATGAATTGAGAGTATAAGGGTCGATATTTGGCACCTTTGGATTGCATTTTTTTTATAGAGAAATTCTTATTCCACTCCAAATGGTGGCTTCAGGTTTTACTGTACCTGGGAACAAGAAACTCAAAAACTCAAAAACCTAAATAAAATATACGCATGCAATGGTTATACCTGAGACTTGAAAAGTTGCGAATTTCAATTATACGAGTCTATAATATTCCTATGTGCCTATCGTTTATGTTAGTACAAAGATAAAATATGTTATGAATAGACGGACAATGAAGGAGCTAGTTGCCGTGCAAAATATTCACATATCAAGTATTGCTATAATTAAATAACGCTTAATATTCACATCATTTCTTTGTTAAGTAACAATACCTTAATATCTAGTCACAAATCCATTGTCAGTAACAGCCTGTTTTTTACGAGGATATATTATTTTCTTGATACATTATCAATATTGACAATTTATAATTAATATAGAATTATCAACATTGGTAATTCATAATTAATTTAGAATTAATCAATATTGATAATTTTTGAATTATCAATATTGATAATTTATAATTAATTTTGAATTATCGATGTTGATAATTTACCATGAAGATAGTTGCAAGCGTTTACGTTTATACTTTCGTTACAGTCAGGACGTGTATATTGTATTTAGCAGTGGCGATGTATGGACTCTGCAGAGGGTAAGCTGTCTAGCAAATGCTAAGAATAAAAACTTAGGTGTGGGCAAATTAGTTATGTACACATATTACCCCTGTTCACATATTACAATGACAAGTATATGAATACGTACATTAGGGAATCAATCTAATACCAAATTTGTCATTACTGTTTTTGAAATTCGTGTTGTTCAAAATACAATAGAGGTAAAGATATTTTATGATTAGTCTTGCATTTTGATTAGAGTCTTTCAGAAAACTACTTCATACAATTAGGAAATATTGTTAGCATCAATTAAGTTCTAAATAAGTCACATGAATCTTCCATTTACAAGATTTGTTTAATATAACGAAAATTTAATAGTGGAAACTCATCCTATACACGTACTAAATATGACACTTCACTGTTATTTATTAAGTCGCAAAAGGACATTGCTAGTACACAGTATTCCTACCATGAGTTGCAGTGCAAAATATATAGCAAATTTTTGATTGTCTCGTGACCGCTGATGACAGGGACACTGTCGTACAAATATTTTTCTAGGTCTCTAGCAACTCTTGTTTTGATTGTTGTGTCATGGTAGAGTTATAGTAGTCATTAGAGAATCGAGTAGCATATCGATGATCATATTGACACTCAGTACTTTAAATACCTTTACAAATGATGTCAAAATATGACAATCGATATATGTATTTTACACCACTCATTCATTACCTGTATTGAAAGATGATATCACTTCGGAATGACGTGAGCCTCGTAGGGTTCAAGCGATGGAACACGAGTTTCGTCCAGTACAATTAAGACGCGTATGATGAGCATGTTTTGTAGTACGCGCACGATGTCGGCTTGGCGCTGCAGAGATCGCATATGACTTCAGGTGGGATTTCAATGTAGTAGGTAGCGGTAATCGTTCTAGTCCATATACGGATGTTCTTGCCACTATCGCGCGACAGCATAGCTCTTGGAGACTTAGTACTGTATGGAATAAAAAAATTGTTAAAAAAATTCTGTAAGGCGTTACATTCTTTATCGAAGCGGATTCATCTGTGATTTGTTTTAACGTGATCGTTTCGTTTCAGTGAGCTACCGAAATGGCGACAGGAGTAAAGCCGGGTTTACATTTGTCTGACGTATCGTGTCGTGACGCGTTAGAACAGTATCGGTTTCATACATTTAACATGGCTAGATTTATATTAGTGTGTCGCAACATGACGTGAAGGCTTGTGTTGTGTTTATGAAACTGTTATCGTTGTGAGAGCGCTGCTGATGCTGTTGGTGGATTGGCACCTCTTAAGCATGTCCTGTCGATTATAATGTAGCCGCTTGGGGTGTTCTGTCAACCGTAGATCTCGCTTAGTGAGTTTAACGTTCAGAATTCAAAAGAGGTAAAGAAATAGTGGTAATAAATCCAGTTTTATAACAATTATTCCGTTTTTATTAATGTTTGTGATCTTTAAAATGTTTATCGCATAAGAGATTTTTAGTAACTGGTGAACGGCTCAAAAAAATAAGAAGGGAAGACGTGTTCGCTGCCGCGATCGAGCAGGGAGTGACGATGGAACGAAACAAAATCAGAATGCGAGGCAAAGGAACTATAGTAATTCAAAATTTAAATTTAAATGCGAGTGGCCAGGAACCGGAGAAAGGCGATAAAAAGGTGGGATGACGATGTAAGGAGGTCACACCGTCACATCCTTCTGACACGTCACGATATGACACGTCACACAAATGTATATCCAGCTTAAGTTTCATTTTCACTTGTGGCTATACCATGAGTTTACAAAGACAGCTGGGAATATTCATATGAGGGTTTTCTTGTGTCCTCGGATGATAGACTGGGGTCAACTTAGATAGTACGTAACACGGTGCGTCTAAGTTTTTTTTTACATGCAGTGTTAACGTGCGGCGCCTAGTGATTGCCGCGTCAGTTATAAAAACATATTTGACGTTTTCTACAGGAGGCGTGAAAATATCATTTAAGATGATGTTTAAAGGATTTAATAACTTCTACCAAGAGTTTACGGTGTCGATGGTCGTTTTCGGCCGTTTAAAATATACCTCAAAGAATCAGACTGTTGTCATAGATGTATGGAGCATTTTTTGTACCGCATTCAAAGAGATAAGACTTTTCCAGGCGTGAGTAAACGGTGACCGTCAGGATGGCTGGTCGCCTGTCGCATCTGGCACTGGGTGTATATTCAAGAATTGCTACCTTTTCTAAATAATTACTGCCTTTGATATATTCTGAGAAATCAAAAATAATAATTAACCAGCCGTTCTGACGTCAGGATGGCTGGTCGCCACTTTGTTCAGCATGAAGGGAGCAGATTTACCAGAAGTATGAATATAACCGTTTGAAAATTGCCTGATTAAATTAAAAAAGCAAAAGTTTTTAGTGCGTTAAGTTGTTATTGCCATAACACAAAGGGCAGGCGTTGGTCTTCTTCGTAAAATTTTCAATCGTTTATATTTTTTTAACTAATGTAGATAGGAAGCGTATACCTTTAATTCGTGAAGGTAGCAAATAGGTAGCAATTATTGGTAATTTATATTTCTGGTAAATCTGCTCCCTTCATGCTGAACAAAGTGGCGACCAGCCATCCTGACGTCAGAATTGACGGTTAATAATTATTTTTGATTTCTCAAAATAATAGGGGTTAAAGTATGAAATTGCCGATTTGTACTGAAA